TTCACGCATTATACTCGACCCCGTCAATATATACTGATGCAAAACATGCTGCAAACGAAGCCTGGCCAATCAAGACCGATGACTTCTTTCCGTGAGCTCCTTTCAAATGCAAAATAAGTAACATATAAACTACTAACTCGAAACCATGTTCAGGAAGAAGCTTCAAATTGTAGCTTATGCTCGCAACATGAATTTGAGAGTACCATTTGGATGGCTGTACTGCCTACCTAAGCTATTACTTCATGTTCAGCTGCATATCAGTATTTTTCTAACTTGTTATTTCATATTTGAACCATGCATTTATTAGGTATGCAGATCGTGTAAATGGTTACTGGACGGGGTATTTTACAAGTAGGCCAGCACTAAAAGGTTATGTTAGATTTATGAGTGGCTACTACTTGGTAAGACTTCTGATTATTGTTACCGTGTTAGTTGAAGTAATTTGTATCTGATGATCTTTGAAAAACTCACATATGCTTTAGAATGTTATCAGAATTTCACAACTTGGCTCTTATTACTCTTCAATCTTGAAATAGGCTGCAAGGCAGTTGGAGTATTTCAAAGGGAAGAGCGCATTAAGTCCTAATACTGACTATTTGGCTGATGCTATGGCTATTGCTCAACACCATGATGCGGTATCTGGTACAGAAAAGCAGCATGTGGCTAATGATTATGCCAAACGGCTTTCAATAGGTTACACAGAGGTGATACTTTTTTCTATATATATTCTCTTTGGAGTTTATTTTCTTGCAATTAAACTCAAAAATGTTTTTCATTTTTGGTGTCTAATTCAGGCCGAGAAAGCTGTTGCTGCATCACTTGCTTTCTTGACAGAAGCAGCAAACAAAACCGATGGTAGGACTCCACAAATTAAATTTCAACAGGTAAGTACTGATGTTCTTTTGTTCAACTACTGTAAATCCGACACCTCTTTAGTCTTTTCTTAATTTTGATTACATATATTTCATGAGTTAGGTTATTGTCATTCATAAGTCATAACAACATACTTTGAGAATTAAAATTCTGATGAGTTGATACTGAGATCCCGCTATTTTATCTCTTCCATTTTGTCATTACAGTGTCCACTTCTTAACATAAGTTACTGTCCTGCATCAGAAGCAGACTTCTCCGATGGGAAAGACCTGGTGAGGAGCAATGATATCTAATCTCTTGCTTATCAGAATGCAGACAATTATCTATTAAGATTTTCACGATACATATTGTTTCCTGTAGGTTGTGGTCGTTTACAATCCTCTTGGACGGAAAAGAGAGGATGTTATAAGGATTCCTGTGAGTTTCTTCTTTCAACCACCTTTCAGTATCTCCATTCTTCTTATATTTTCTGGTCTAAGTGTGAAACATTCTATTTGTCACAGGTTGCCAATGAAAATGTTGTTGTTCGGGATTCGAGTGGGAAAGAAATCCAATCCCAGCTTCTGCCAATACCTGATGCTTTTCTTGGTTTAAGAAACTACTACGCGGAAGCATACCTAGGAGTTTCTCCAAGTGTAAATCCTAAATATTGGCTTGCTTTTTCAGCCATTGTTCCCCCACTTGGTTTTAGCACTTACTATGTGTCAAAAGCGAAACAAGCAGGTTAGTTCTCATCATCGATTTCCTTACTGAGAGTTGTGTTGTTAATTGCTATCACTCATCCGAATACCTTTGTTTGCAGCTACTATTTCAGATAGCCATATAGAACATAGATCAGGGCGTCCGGGCAATAAGTTTGAAGTAGGCCTAGGAAACTTGAAACTTATTTACTCAGAGAAGAAAGCGAAACTTACTCAATATATTAACAGAAAAAGGAAGGTATATGATTTGGTTGACACATTACTTATATATGAGTTTTATTTTATATGATATGAGTTTTATTTTATATGATATGAGTTTTATGTTTCTGTTCATAATGAAAGGTCAAAGAATCTATAGATCAGACATACAAGTTTTATAACTCGTATGGAGACGACTTTACCGATAACGCTCAGGTGATAATGTTTCTCTAATACTTCTTTTTATTAGTTTGATTGTGATTGTTTATATAAAGCTACTGGTTTAAATGTTCTCAATTTGTAAAGGCATCTGGAGCATATATTTTTCGCCCCAACGGTTCATCAATTCCCATCAATTCCAACAAGAAGGTGAAATCATATCTGAGTTACTTGTGCTTAATTACCGATGTTCACTGGTAATGAGAGTTTAACGAGTTTTCATTTTTAAAATATTCAGTCTCCTCTCACAGTTTTGCGGGGACCAATCGTGCATGAAGTGCATCAGAAGATCAATTCATGGATATACCAGGTAAGGAAACAAATAAAACTTAGAAGATGTTAGAGGAATTCAGTAGGCTTATTCTTTAGCTATATCAATATCTGAATGTTAGCTTAATTGAACAGACCACAAGACTATTCAAAGGAAAAGAACATGCTGAAGTTGAGTTTATTGTAAGTCTTTTTGTTCTATTTTCGATAGCGATACTTTATTTTCTAAGATATAATAATCATGAAATTTCTTTTGACGTCAGGTTGGGCCTATACCGATTGACAATGGAGTTGGCAAAGAAATTGCAGCCGAGATTAAGACAAATCTAGCAAGCAGCAAAACCTTCTATACTGATTCTAATGGACGCGATTTCATTGAACGGGTATGTCAAACTGTTTTAATGATTATTTTCTAGATATATTTTTTCAATGTCAATGCCAAATACAATGAATATTTAACCGGTACAATGATGCATACTTTTACAGATTCGAGACTATAGAAAAGACTGGAACTTGGAAGTAAACCAACCCGTTGCAGGAAATTACTACCCTGTATGTTATATTGAACCATGTGTATTAAAAGATCTTACATGTTATATCAAACCATGTGTATCAATGAAATACTGAAATCTATATTCTTGTTTCAGATCAATCTTGGGATTTACCTAAAAGATAAACAAAGCGAGTTTTCGGTATTGGTAGATAGGTCTATAGGCGGTTCCAGCATCCAAGATGGACATGTGGAGCTAATGGTTCATAGGTTTGTTATGCACCTATCCTCTATGTATCATTACCAATCAAATTACTTATCATATTTTTTTAACCTTTTTCTTTAGGAGGTTACTTAATGATGATTCCAGAGGTGTTGCAGAGAACCTAAATGAAACAGTTTGCGTCTCTAATAAGTGCGAAGGGTTAACAGTAAGAAACTAATTACTCAGTGAGTTATAGCGCGGGAAAGATCATAGTTTATGCTTTTGGTTTATTCATTATATACAATTTTTTTTTTTGCAGGTTATAGGGAAGTACTATTTCAGAATTGATCCTGTAGGAGAGGGTGCTAGATGGCGTCGAGCATTTGGTCAAGAAATATACTCACCATTGCTTTTAGCCTTCACAGAGGTGGTTAAGGAATGGTTGTTAAAAGTAACTGCATTTCTCAGTGAGCTGGATTTATAGTTAAAATAACGTGTTTTATTTCTGTCTTATAGAGCGAAGGTAACTGGGGAGATTCTCATGTCACAACATTTTCGGGAATAGATTCGTCATACCGCTTACCGGAAAATGTTGCAATAATAACTCTCCAGGTGGGGCTGGTGTAACTTAGCACTCATTTATAACTTCCGCAGTCTCTAGTTAATGAAGATATATAGTACCATCTCATCCAAGAACATGAAGCATGAAATCCAAAATATGCTGAGTTTTTTAACGGAAACTTTTGATGATTTATATATGATTTTATCTTAAGCCATCTTATTGTGATCTGTAGGATCTTGGTAACGGAGAAGTTCTTCTTCGGCTAGCGCACTTATTTGAGGTATATTCTCTTTAGCCTTCATCTACTTGTTTATATTACATTCTTCCAACTTGCGTTTTCAAGAGGTGAATTGTTCTTGTTTGGTTTGAAATATGTATGTAATAATTTTTCTTCTTCTTCTTGACAATGCAAGATTGACGAGGACGTGAATCTTTCGGTTAAGTCAAGCGTAGAACTTAAAAAAGTGTTCGGCAATAAACAGGTAGAAACAGCATGACGAATGATAATACTTGTATAACTAATTATTTCATTCATATGGAGTTTCATATATAATTCTACCGTGTTCAGATAAACAAAGTAACTGAGGCGAGCTTATCGGCAAACCAAGAAAGAACAGAAATGGAGAAGAAGAGATTAGTGTGGCAAGTTAAAGGATCATCTCCGGAACCGAAGGTGTCAAGGGGAGGACCCGTTGATCCAGAAAAGCTAATAGTAGAACTTGCTCCAATGGAAATAAGAACCTTCATTATCAATTTTAAGCACTAATGCTCCAATGGATCTTTTAGCATGGACGATGAGAAACATCAAGCACAAATTTTCATCTAGTACAAGAAGAATATCCATTCCCTGACACATCGGAATGAAAAATTAACAATTCTGTCTGAAATGTAAATATGCTCAGGGTTTGTTTGGCTAAGATTGTATGAACTCAAAATCAAAACCATTGCCAATAAAGTGCACTGTTCCTCCCTCTCCTTCAACTCTTGACATCATCGAGAATCAATGTTGGCATTTTAGTTGAATCATTCTGCTAATGATGACATGCTTCAAAATATGCATTAAAAACACATAAGCACTGAATTATTTACAATGTTAGGAAAATACATAGATAATGGTCAAAGCACAATGCAAAACATGTTTTTTTTTACTTAAGTTGTGTTACAACACGCTATATATAAAGAAAGAGAGATATTTAAAATGGGATTTTAATTAGATAAAATTTCTAGTGACAGACATGAAATATCGCAAATATTACTTCAAATGTGCTCTAAATAACATGAACAAAAATATAATTAAACAAAACAATTAAATACCTCTCTTTTTTTTTCTTTTGTTTCTTCTAACCTTAAAATATTAGACTTTTTTTCCAGCAAAAATAATAAAAAGAAAAGAAAAAGAAAGAGGAAAAACGTGACGACTACAACAACAAACAGAAGAATAACAACAAACAGAAGAATATTCATAAACATTGTTTTTCATTAATGAATTTTACAAAACTCAACGACTCTCCCATGTTTCGCCAACAGGTTCTGTTCTTCTTCTATTTTTCATGGTCATTTAAACATTAATTGTTGTTTCTCGTGTTTTATGTTTTCAGAGGAAAAAAAAAAGTGTTAATGAAAGAAAAACTTTTGCCAAGAAAAAAAATATAAAATAAAAAATGCAAATCGCCGTCTGTGGGAATCGAACCCACGACCACACGGTTAAAAGCCGTGCGCTCTACCAGCTGAGCTAAGACGGCTACTTGTTTATATGTTCGGTTTGTTTTTAATTATCCTAGTGATAATTATGTAATGATTGTGTATGTGTTTTAATGGTTCGAAATGTGGCTTATGATTTTGTTGAAGAAAATTGGTTGCGTTACTGTGTATAATCTATGTATAAGTGCAGCTTCAGGGTTTGGAAGAAAACGCAGAATCTTTACGCTCAAGATGTTGGAAGTTTTTCAAAGGATGTCGAAAGTACACGTGAGTTTTCCATCTCAGTAATTTGTTTTTTGAACTTTGCAATTTGTAGACTCTTTTGTTTTTGTCTTGTATGATGTTAATGTTTGAATAAACTACTTTGCAATCGTAATTGCTCATGTATATAAGTTATTTCTATAATAAAAAATAAACAAAAAAAAATAAGGTTAAATTGTTGTGTAAGCTGTAAGCTATATCAAATAGCTTATGAAAATAAGCTAAAAACATAAGTTTTTTCAAATAGTTCATAGATTCTTATGACAGGCGATAATGTTCAAATAAGGCAACCACAATTGCATAACATTACTTAGAAACACCTATGAAGCATAGACAAGACAAAGACATGCCTTTTTTCAGAGGTGTCGGTGCTTCGGAGCATATAGACCTCCTAAGAGTTGGGTCTAGCAGGAGAGGCTAGTTTTCCTCGAAGTGATAGACCAATGTTGAATCCTGATCAGGAGTTGTGTTTGGCTATATCTCGAATAAAATGATCTCCTGTTTTGAAGGAACCTATGAAAAAGAAAAACGAAGGCACATATAATTTTTTAATGGTGAATGTTAGTTATTGATTTGTTAATAAGAGAACTTTTGTTTTTGTCTAGTGTGAAGTAGGAGAAGTTAAAATCACATTCCTGTATCCTTGAACTCTACCATCACTTTTCTTTGTCTTGAACTCATTCAACTTTTGACTCTTGTGGCTGATTAAATAGAAGTTAAGCCACGGTTCTCATGTCCTTAAGTTTCTAATGCCATAATAGTTCTTTCAAATTTTTGTAGGGAAGGGCTTGGAGAAGCATATGATGGAGACATTGCTTTTGCAACTGCACTTGAAAATTTTGGAGGAGGGCAGAGTGATCCTCTATTTGTAACTTTGGGAGGTATTGTCTTTTCTTATGAAATAAACCTCAATTATTTCTTTTCTCTACGCTTGTTGCTTAATAAGAGGCATTGGTATGACATGTGTACTTTGGAGGTAATATAATACCCTGACCCAACATGAAAATTTAGGTTTAACACTGCATATTTGAATTCACACTGGGTTTGTTGGAGTCACATTAGCTTACCGTGATTTTGCCAAACTCGTCATAAATCCAAACATGTACATAATATTGTTACTAAATGCATACTTCAGTTGTGTGCATGATATGTATGTTTAGGCCTTTAAAGAAGCTCCAGATATTTTAGTCTATATTATGCTATGTTTATTTAGTCTTAACCATTGTGCTTCTTCAAATATTCTATTAAAAAAGCTATCATTTTTTACTATGAATTTTGAATATAAAAAATCGGTTTCATCAGGACCTGTAATGACCAAATTCTCTATTGCTTTGAGAGAAATCAGTACACACAAGGAACTTCTCCGGTCACAGGTAATGACATGTGAACTTGTATAGTCATTGTCTTTCTTATTTTCAGCAATTTATGCTTTTAGTAAGAATAGACCAATGATGAATAGTGTGGCTTTCATGAATCTTTACTATAAACTTATAAAACTTGAACTTGTCTTTTATGATCCTTCTGAATTGGATTAACTCGTTTATTTGTTTCGTAGAGTAACTCAGGTAGAGACATTTGATCTAGTTGATATTGCTAACCTGACTATACTTGATGTGGCTTCTTAGGTGGAGCATATGCTGAATGACCGGTTACTGAACATCCTAAATGTCGAAATCATTGATGTCAAGGTATATAGTGAGTAGCATAAATTTTTAAGATTTCCATACATAATTAACAGTTTTGATTATTTTATGCGAAAAATGTGGTATGCTAAGTCATCACACCTGATGATATGACGTGTAACTCCTCTAGTTTCCGTTCCGACAAGGGCCTATATAGGCAATATATATATAGTATGATGCAGTCTTCCTATGCTAATATGCAGCTCTTTGTATGTGATAGGGCTTTAATTTGTATCCTACAATGTAAAATATTCATAATTCCTACATTAAATATGACTAGTGAAATTTTTTATTTTAACGCTTCAAGTATGCTTGCAGGAAGCTCGGAGGCGTTTTGATAAAGCTTCCCTTGTATATGATCAGGTGCTTATGAAAGTTGCATAATATAATGATCTCTGCATCCATGTTTTTCTTTTCCTTCCATTGCATTTGTGTCTTGAGCTATACAATTCATTTCATGGAAGAAGCATAAGTTCTAATCTTAGTTTCTTGAATTATCTTTATTTTATTTGGTTGAATGACTCTTTCTCTTAAATAACTGATACCACGAGTCAGTTTTTCAATTTAAATTACGTTTCAATACTTGTTCACTCAATTGCTGCATTGACAAAAATGCAATATATGCTTTCGGTGAATGACCAGCCTGATTTGATTTATGTTTTAACATCTTCAACTCACTTGTTGAATTTGTTATGCTGAGGCACTCAAGTTTGAATCCTGAGAGGAAGAAATTGATTTACGACTTATAACAGATATAATTAAGTACACACTTTGTATTGTAATGTTTTACTCACAAGTTGCATCACAAAATTCAATATTTTGGAATTGCACTTTCAGTGACTCTTAAAAAATTCAAAGAATTAAGATGCATGTATGGATTCAGTTCTACCAAACCCAAGAAGAAATTTAAGACATTTTAAAATAAATTAGATGTATTGGAAGTTAGTTTGCCTTTATCTTGATCTTAACACAAATACAACATGAATTTCATGCTATAGGCACGCGAGAAGTTTATGTCATTGAGAAAAAGCACCAAGTTTGATGTTGCCGCTGTCATAGAAGAGGTACGTTGTGTAGCTCATCTTTGGCATTGTATTGACTAACATTTTATTATGTTGTCATGGGTTACCATGGTCTTTTTTAATCTAATTTGTTAGAGAGACATTCCAGGAACTGCACAATGCAAGAACAATATTTGAGGAAGCTCGTTTCAATCTGGTAATGTTAGTGGAACAAGATACGCCGCTTTGAATAAGAATAAGAGTATATAAAATGAATGTGTTCAGCTCTTAACGACATAACATATTCTATCCTCTATTCTAGGTTGGTGCTCTTCATAATATTGAGGCCAAGAAGAGATTTGAGTTTTTGGAGGCTGTCACTGGAGTTATGGACGCTCATCTTCGATACTTTCAACAGGTATTACGACATAGGCATATAGGAGGAATACAATTTCGCACTTAAGCCAATTTTAAATGTTCTTTCTCTTGTAGGGATATCAGCAGTTGCAGGAGCTGGAGCCTTTCATTATTGAGGTTAGGAAACACTTAACTTCCATGGATACTCATCTAGTTTTCTTTTGATTAGATGTTTGAAGTTAGAATATTGCATTCATAATGCATATACTTCCTCAAAATCTATGATGTCCTGAGATGTGAAAGCAGTAAAACTCATTAGCAACACGAAAATGGCACTGTCATGTATCAAGCAAATTTGTCGGTTTGAATTTATTTTTAATATTGACTGAATGGAAGAGTTCCTGTCTTGTACTGTATCTGCTATGTTGTAGGTTTTGGCTTATGCACAAAAAGCAAGAGAAAGTTACAACGAGGAGCAGATTTCTCTTTGCGAAAGAATGGTAGAATACAAAAAACTAAGTTATCAAGAAAGTAGGTTCTCTTTAAATGGCCCTTATGGTTCACCGAGTGGAGAAGGTGCGCAAATGCATCCTTTTTCTAGGATATCAAACAGTGTTGTAGATGTAGTAGCTGAATCAGCTGCAAGTGGAAAGGTATTTGAGGATATGATGTTTCCCTTTACTTCATTTCATTTTACTTAGTTTTCACTCCTGACTTACGTAAGTTGAGCACTATAAATATGTGTAGGTGCTAGTCATTCGACAAGGGTATCTTTCAAAACGTTCCTCCAATTTGAGGGGTGACTGGAAGAGAAGGTTTTTTGTTCTTGATACTCGTGGAATGCTTTACTACTATCGTAAATCATTACAAGCAAATGTAAGTATCCTAGTAAAACTAAAAGTTAAATACTAATTACATGTTGGTATTGTATATTAGGCGACGCTCATTTTATTACCTTATCTTGCTAATGAATGTTTAGCATGTACCAACCATTTCAGAGTACCAATCAGCAATCTTCACAGAGGAATTGTGCCACTGAAAACAGTGCTGGCATTCTCAGTAAGTTGCTTTCTTCACAATACCATGGAGTTATTCCTGATGAAAAATCGGTAGCACGCCACACCGTGAACCTGCTGACATCAACAATCAAGATCGACGCTGAGCAATCAGATTTAAGATTCTGCTTCAGGATTATTTCACCCTCAAAAATGTATACTTTACAGGTATGCTTTATATAGATTCAATAAATTGGATTTATTAACTTATCGTTTGGCATTTATCATTACTCTTCACTACGCCTTGTACAAAAATTGCAGGCAGAAAATGCCCTTGACCAGATGGATTGGATGGAAAAGATAAATGGTGTCATTGCCTCGTTGTTGTCTGTACAGACACTAGGTGGAAAGGTACACAGTGATTTTTCTTTTCCTTTTGTTAATTACCACATCCTTTGATGCATGCTTTAATTGTGGTTACTATAACCATAAAAACAAAATTTTGACAGGCTATCTCAGCTGACTCAGAAAGCGCTGAAAGTGACTCTTCCAGTAACGTCGACTCATTACAAAGTTTACTAGAGTACGATCAATTAGTGAGTGGGGAGTTTGCATCCAAGAACTCCGTCACTAATAAATCATCTGAAGACATACAGAAGAATAGGCCGAGTGTAAAAATTGAACAGCCAATTGATATACTAAGAAAGGTTAGCGGTAATGACAAATGTGCTGATTGTGGTAAACCTGAACCAGACTGGGCATCCTTAAACCTTGGCATCCTTGTATGCATTGAATGTTCTGGTGTTCACCGTAATCTTGGTGTACATAAATCAAAAGTAAGTATTTGATGTTGCATATTTATATATGTAGATATATGTTTCATGTCTTATCCAAATCTTATTGTTCATATTTTGTTTTCTATTGGTTTTAGCTTTTTGAAATATAAGGCTTTCGACGTTCCGTCCTCATCTAGATACTAAGGTAGGATGACATTTTTTGTAGGTAAGATCACTGAAACTTGATGTCAAAGTGTGGGATTCGTCCGTCTTAACTATGTTTCAGTCACTGGGAAATCTCTTTGCGAACTCGGTTTGGGAGGAGCTTTTGCACAAAACAAGTAATCCACAAACTGATGAAACTCCATATGGGTGGTAAGTATTGCTGAGATTGATAGGACTCACCGTCTAAACTTTCACTAACGTTCTTGCAACCTGCATTGCAGTTCACCCAGAGCTACTAAAAACAAGTTATGTCATATAAAAAAACCAGAACATGATGGTCCTATTTCACTTAAGGAGAAATTCATTCATGCAAAGGTAATCTAATGCTTATTTCTAGTTATTTCTTACTTAGAAAGCAATATTATGGCCGGTTTGATTTGTGAACATATTTTCTACTTTCATTTCTTAAAATTAACAGTTTTAGACCGAAATTGATTGTTTCTCTTATCATCGCAGTATTCTGAGAAAGTCTTTGTGCGACGGATGCCAAAAAGCCATCATCTTCTTTCAGTGGCGCAACAAGTTCTGGAATGCATCTATGCCAACGACAAAAAAGCAGTGTACCGATATATCGTCAAGTCAGACGTGGACATCAATTCTGCTAGTGGAGAAGCATTATCCAGTAAGTCTTCTAATCGCAAAAAGTCCAGACTTCTGGAAAATTTTACCGTTGAAATTCGAAAAAAGAAGGATAAAGAATAATTAACTGTTGCACAGGCTTTTTTTCCAACATGTCTTCATCAATTGATTCGAACTCGTCTTCTACAAGTAAAGTTCAGCTAATGGAGGACATACAAGAGGGTTCTAGTGTGCTTCACTTGGCTTGTCTAACAAGCGATGCTGGAATGATAGAGCTGCTATTACAGTATGGAGCGGATATAAATGCTATCGATTCAAGAGGCAGGACACCGCTGCATTACTGCATTTTGCGAGGGAAGAACGCAGCTGCAAAACTGCTTATTACAAGGTAGTTATTATTTTGGAAGGTTTCTTGATATTCCAATTTTTATATGCTAAACATTTTATCACATAAAAAGCTATGTCTGATCAAGTGCAATCATTTTCAGGGGTGCCAATCCACTTACCGTAGATAAAGAAGGCAACACTCCTCTTAAGCTTGCACCAGAATCCGGCACCATTGGAAAAGACATTCTTGCACTCTTAACAACAAGCAGATAACAATCTCACAAAATCCATGCCTCAATTCTAGAGAAAATTGAGAACCAACCAATAAATCATTCCGACACATTCCGAAAACACACTTTTTGTTGCGAGTCTGGAGCTGTTAGGTTGATTTTGCTGGGCCGCATGTTTGTAATTATCATCTTTTGTTGTAAGATATGTTAGACTGTTTAATGGTTCTTCACATCCATTTTCAATTTTCAAATAGAGTATAAGTTTTGTAACATTCCAAATTTTTTGGGAGTTTATCGTATGATCAAAGTTATACAGTACAGGGGTTGTATATAAGTTACATGAGTTTCGTTTTGGTCCTTTTGGATGCTGCTACTAGCTATTGAAATGGAATTGTTTTTTGTTGGGAAAAAAAATACATGAGATATTATATAACTCTTGAAATATATTAATATATAGCAAAATTTTATTTGTCATTGAATGGTTTTAATTTGTAGTTGTTTAAGTACTCATCAAACTTGTACTTAAGTTAGTACACATGACATATTATAATTACTGAATACAACAAAACATACAAATTTTAAGTTTTGCACATTAGAGTAATCCCATACTCTAGAATCATTTGGATGAGTTTTGAGACAAAAACACATTTATCATTCAGCAGATCACCATCCAATTCAATTAGAGAGTTGTTTCCGCAACACGTCTTATTACTCGTAAATGGTTTCAATCGCTCTTAATATATAAGGATAAAATGTCATTTTAAGTATTCAAATTCATTCTCACTCACATTATTTTTTATTTTCTCACTGACTTAGTCGTTGGAGTGCTAATCTTAGAAGTTCACCCCATTTTGCCGCATCAAAAGTATTTTTCCACCGCTATGAGACGCTACTCCACTGCTTCATCTTCTATTTCTAGTTCCAAACTGAACGATGATGCCGTTTGTGAGAATTAACTTCTGATTCTGACTAATTTTGACAAAAAACCATTGTTTCTCCATTGAAGATCTAGATAACCAATCTCCTTTATTGAAACTTTAATCTCCTCCTCAGACATATTATTATTAGATTCGTCGAGTATGGTGACATTTAAAGTCACTCGATCTATCTCCCAACGATAAGATGTTGCTAGGAATGCTGAAGTTGCCAAAGCTCCACTTCTTCCTCCTTTTTCTCTGATGGAAAACAGTTCAGTTCTTGTTGTTAGACGATAGACTTCGATCTAGAGGGGGGGGGGGGGGGAGGGAGGTTTGAATAAATCACAAATCTTACAACCAAAAACTTTTGACAAAAATTTGTTTTCAAAATAAAGTGCAGCGGAAAAACGGCCCGGATCGAATCGTCTAACCGAACCTACTATCGAAAAGTAATATATGTATCGCAAACCAAATGGAGTGATAACGAACGTAAATGTTCAACAATGATCAAGCTACAAATCAAATAAATGCAATGCTAATAGTAACTCGTATGTCTAATGAACCAAAACGCAAACAAAATACACACAAATAATTTATCGAACATTTGATGTGAGATCGATAACAATTGAAAATATAGTTTATTTTGTTGATGTTAAAATCTATCACAATCAAAGTGATTGTGATTATATCAACAATAACACCTTTAAAAGATAGTAGAAAATAATTTCCAATCAAATTGATCAAACAACAACGAATTTGATAAATTGCGTAATCAACAATAAAAAAAACTAAAGAGATGAAGAGAGAGAGAGAGAGAGAGAGAGAGAGAGAGAGAGAGAGAGAGAGAGAGAGAGAGAGAGAGAGAGAGAGAGAGAGAGAGAGAGAGAGAGAGAGAGAGAGAGAGAGAGAGAGAGAGAGAGAGAGAGAGAGAGAGAGAGAGAGAGAGAGAGAGAGAGAGAGAGAGATATTTGTTTAGGCGGTTCTCCAATTGACCTCGCTATGGGTACGTCTGCCCTCAGTTCAAAATTGAATTGAGATAATGCTTTAACCTTTTCTTTGCAAAAATATTTATACAAGAGATGAAGAATGCAAACCCCAAAAACATTATTATTGTGTTGATTCTTCCACCTTCAAACCCTTGATCAAAGCTTGATCAAGTGACCAACAATGGGGCTACAATCTTTCGATTATCCCAAGCACACAACTTGTTGAAACCCGAGATTCCCAAACACAATTTACCCTCTCGCGCTACTCCCTTGCAAGGAAACCACTTTGTCCCAATGCTTTCACTCGGTGGAATCTGTGTTGACGTGATCTCATTCAAAACCTTCAAATCAAATCGATCTTGAAGGAAAACTCCACCTTTATTTTCTTATTTGAAACACACAAAGCCCCCAACTCAATATTCTCGGTTACACCAAACCTAATTGGACGTTATTAACCCTAATCTAGATGGTCACCCAATCGAAAAATGATTATGTGTAGTTCAATTGTGTGTATGCATAAAAGAAGGGATGAATATGATGGGCAACTTTGTAATCTGGTTTCGTTTAGGTTTTATTCCATAGGAAACCTTGCCTAGAAGAAGATGCATGTATGAGTATATATAGGTATGTGAATGAATGAGCAAAAGGAATGCAAAAAGTTGGAGCAAAACTAAAAATTTTGGATGGAAAAAACATATAGGTCGGCCTATGAAAGCAATAGATCGGCCTATGCGTGTTGTTTAGATCGACCCGTGAAGGTCATAGGTCGGTCTGTGAAGGTCATAGGCTAGCCTGTCTAGTAGCCCATGACACAGTTTGTGGGCATAACCTACATGCTTTAATACTGCAACATACAGGCTGACTTTAAATTTGTATAGATCATTCTATACTGAAGCAACAACTTTTATAGGCCAGCCTGAAATTGCATAGGCCAACCTATAGACATGTTTTTCACATGAAACCTTTTCTAAATTATTTTTAATGCATGAAACCTTTTCTAAATCATATCTAAACTATTTTAATGCATCCTAATGCTAAGATGTACATCTAGAATGGAAGGATACCGTCCAATTTACATAACACTACACTATTCTAGTTTTGACATCACTTAAAATCCAAAAGCACTCACACTTGTAGCATCTCCATCTGGCATTTCTGGACGAGATTTAATTCCTCAAAGAGTTGGTCAAAGGGCATTCCAAGCTCTCTCGTTCTTTAGACCTATACGAAAAACTTACCAGAGAAAACCATCACATCGAATTTCTTCAAAACCTATTGCACCTGGGCAAGAAATGCTCTAAAGCCTTCAGCTGATACAAGAAAATCTTGGAGTACAAGGAGCCGTTGACTTTCTGAACATCATCTACAACCTAGTACATTACCACAAATCATAATTCCCTACCAATAAAATACTCATAATCAAAGAGACCCTTTAATTAATATGATTCACCAAGGGACAACACTGGATGAGAGGCATTCTCTCGAGGAAACCAGTCCGCAACACCAAAGTCGATCCATGTTGGCACAACTACGTCACATAGAGAGGTCTCAAGATCACCAACTTGCAATTGACACTGATGACATATAACTCCCTATCCTGATTCTAAAGGAATGAGTGGTAGTCATTCTCCTCTCAAAGTTCACCATCTACATCGTTCACTAACGCGCCATTCCCGAAGAAGGGAAAGACATAACACATAGACTCCATAAGAGATTGTGTAAGGGGCAAGAATAACCAACAAATAAAAACAGTCCCCTCGCCAAGAGAAATTTTCCTCTAAGAAAGCTATTGAGGGTGTGAATTTTGTGAAAATGATAGTATTTGGACTTATCTGTCCTAGAAGATTCTCTAACCGGGTAAAAGTTCCTGATTAAAAGGAGGAGACTTATCGAGTATACCCGAGAAGGTGAATAAAATGGTGTATGGGACCATAAGAGAGAGCGTAGGAGGAGAGAAGAATCTCCAAAGAAGAAACGGTCCTCTCGTTGAGATAAATCATCCCCAATAAAGCTATTGAGATTGTGACTAGATCTAGAGAGAAAAAGACAGTAGCAATGAAGAACAAGAAGAATAAAAAGGAAAGCGCTAGTACATAGTGGTCTTCCAAGAGTAAAGAACCACTCCAAGGAAACCTCAAATAGAAGAATTATTGAGCTAATGCTAGTGAGAAAAGAAGAGGGAATGACTCGACCGAGGCGCCAAAAAGACCTATCATAGGATTCTGGGATAGAAAAATAGTAGGTGGGATCTCAAATGAGATCTTTCCTTTGGTTATAGCGGCTACCATAGCCAATTATTATGTATCCAGGATCCTCATTAAAGACAGAAGCTCTTGTGACATCATGTACACAAATCATTTTGAAAAGTTAGGGATGAAAAAGAAGAAGTTAGGGCCCTATGAGGTTCAATGAAAATATAATACCTCCTTGGGGATATATTATGCTAATGCTCACCTTGGGATAAGGGAAAGACACCAGGATGTTTAACCTAAAATTTATAGTGGTTCCTTGTAGAAGATTCTATAATTTTATTTTGGGTAACCCTTTCGCAGCAATCATAGATGCAGTAGCTTCCCTATTCCATCTTAATCTAAAGTACCCCCAATAACCATGAAGAACAAATGATAATATGCATCAAGTTATCTAGGGCACGAAGGATACAAAAGGATCTATAATGCGATCAAGAGGAGAACAAAGGAAAGGTGATGGAGACCAACATAGCCCCCCTCATCATGTAGCTAAGGGACATGGCAGTTGAAACTGTTGGTGTTATTTGCTACAGAGATGACATATTTAATTGAATTTTATTTTTTGGAATTTAAAAAGGAATATAATTTTACTTGTCCTATAGGAATGTGCAACAATCTATTGAAAGACTCGAGAAATATGCCACATGTGATTGTTATTGATCATGATACTTCATTGATAATTTTTGTTGTAAAAATGTTATCTACTTCAAATGTTTTACTATGTCGGTATCATATAAATATGTGATATCTAGAATTAAGAGAATCTCAATAAACAAACAAATCAAGGGTGAATACAAGAAAATGGTCAAACCTACACAAATATTGAAACCTATAATTGAGTCATATGTTTATCATTCATGTAGTTCAGAAGTGTGAGCGCGAAATATCCAT